ATTGGTTGGCCACTCCCACAACCACTGAACCTCATCCAGAACATCCTGTAGGCAGGACAGACTGCAGGCTAAAAGTTGTATGGCTGGTTTTGTGTCCCCTTCCCTCCACTGAAAGCCTTGCCTGGTCACAGGAGACGACTAGTTCAGGCTACATATCCACTATTGCTAGAAGTCTTAAAATGGCCATCTTACAGATTCCGTTCAACCCCCATAAAAGTTCCAATAGAATTATTTACAGACATTTAAAGAGCAATGGTCAACTTCATATGGAAAAATAAAAAACGACGATAGCTAAAACAATCCTGTAAATGGAGGCTTTTCTGTCCTGCCCAGTCCCACAGTCACTTTGAAAATAATCACTCAGAGGCTTAATATTAATTGCAAATTGTTTGGCGTATTGCTAAGCCTTATTACTGAGTAGGTCTTACAACGTTAAGTTAACCCATTTCTATTAATCTATGTTTTGACACTTGTCTTGTGGCCTTACCTTTGGTCTAATACATATTTGTCCTCCAGCATCTGGCTGGCATCTGCTCCCGACTCTGCCCTTCTACATATATCTCTGCTTGGATATCCCACCTATACTGCCTTGTTATAGTCCAAAACATCTTCTTTATTAACCAGTCATAATAAAACATATTTACATCATACAGAGGGGTTATCCCACAGCACAATCCTGTAGAATAAAAAAGACATTCTGGAGGAATCACCATCCTTGATTTCAAGGTCTACTAGAGAGCTATCTAGTAATAAAAACAAAGTGGTATTGTCATAAAAACAGACAAGTAGATCAATGGAATCAAATCAAAGACCCAGATGAAAATCCACACACTTAGGGACACCTGATTTTTGATAAAGAAGCCCAAAATATGCAACAAAAAATGAAATCATCTTCAACAAACAGTGCTAATCTAACTGGATGTTGGCATATAAAAGAATTTAAATAGATCCATATCTATCACCCTGTATAAAACTCATGTCCAAAGTGGATCAACGACCTCAACATAAATCCAGTTACACTGAACCTGATAGAAGAGAAAATGGGAAGTAGCCTTGAGTGCACTGGCACAGGAGACAGCTTCCCAAACAGAACACCAGCAACACAGATACTAAGATCGACAATTAATAAATGGGACCTCATGAAACTGAAAAACTTTTTTCTGTAAGGCAAAGGACACTGTCAATAGGACAAAATGGAAACGTAGAATATGAGAAAAAAAACTTTTCCAATCCCACTTCTGACAGACGGCAGAACTTAAGTATGTAAAGAACTCTAGGAACTATTACTCTGAGTCTTAAAAAATATTTTTCAGAGTAATTAATAACCTAAGTCAACTAAGCTTAATTTTTGTGTTTGTACATCTGAAGATTGGACTCAAGGTCCTACATGTGTAAGTGAAGTACTCTATGACTTAACTAAACCCAGCCCTACTCACAGTAGAATATTAAATGAAGAAAATTTGTAAATAATATTTATAGGGCTTTGTCATAATTAACTATATAAATCCTAATTATAATGATTAAGCACATATATTTTCTTGGCTGAGTACTTATTTTTTTGGTTTTTCAGGACACAACGTCTATGTGTAACAGCCCTAGCTATCCTGGAACTCAATTTGTAGACCAGGATGGCTTAAAACTCATAGAGATCTGCCTGCCTGTGTCTCCAGAATGCTGGGATTAAAGACCTGTGCCACCACTCCCAGCTGGTTAAGTACTTTTAAGAGTGTAAACATACAAGCTTCAGTGTGAAACAGTCAGTCACACAGTAAACCCCTTTATCTATGTTATGAAAACATCATATTAATTCTATATTGTGAGAATTAAAATTAATTTTTTTGCCTGTATTTGAGTAGTATTTTGGAGTGTAGAAATGGAGGAAGATTGCTTGTAGAATAGTTTCTTGCTTTATGAGAATAAAATGTTTGTAATTTACCAAAAAAGAAAAAAAGAATTTAACCACACAATTATATCTTCTGAGAGTTACTACAGGCTTTTGAAATTTTATTCTGTACTTGAAGCTTCTCATCTAAGACCAGATTCTGAAAGTAAACAATGTTGTTCCACATTCTAAAACAAACTTCCAGGAGTTGAGATAATCTATTTCCCTATAAGGTTTATCAAAGTAACAGTAGCAGTAATTCTACTGCAAGAAATTTCCACTTCCCTACCCCCATGCCTTGAAAGAAAGAAAAACTGATGCAGAACAGCCAGACTCAAAATTGGAGAATATTCTAATAATACTTCAGTCATTTAACTTATGTTTCACTCATATATACAAAAGGGAGGCATATGACAAAGGTATGACAGAGAAACAAAGTTGTCTTGGGTTTTCAACCCTTTATATGGTGTCATATTAGCTGGCAGCTTTCCCACACCTCCCCACCACCCTTTTGTTCATATCCAGAATGATGGTACCAAATACCCTCTTGTTGAAAGTGTCTTTAAATGAAACACTATAGTACACAATGGGGAACAAATACCACATTTCAAAACCCATATTTTTTTTTAAAAAAATGGAAAGATTCTTTTAGAACAGAAAGGCAAACAAAATTGAAAAGAATGGTAAGCTCACTAATTAATTCACTCATCATGTATTTATTATTATGCACCTGTTCTATCGCAGACATTGTCAGAAAACACAATTATAGTAGCAAATAATCACACCGAAGCCTTCACTAAGGGTGTGAGAGACAGAGGGATCAACAAGGAAAACCAATGATGGAACATACTAATTTTAGAGTCTAAATAGAAACCCCCAAACAGAGAGGAAGTATAGAAACATTGAGGGGAGTACAGTTTTAAATAGAATTTGCATGAAAAACCTAGATGAGGTGACAGGCAGTCATATTTGAAATTGAAGAAAAAGACTTCCAAGACAGAGAAATGAGTAAGTCTGCCTAGTATATTTGAAAAAAACAGCAAAGAGCCCAATGGTTATCAAGAAGTGCGAAAAAAAAAAGTATTTGTTCAGAAACCACATAAAATCAAACCATGAGCCAAATTTGCCGTAAGAGCCTCTCAGTCTAGACTTTGGAAAATAAAAGAGAAAATGTTAAGAATTTAGATGAATGTTCATATTTCTTCATGTCTAAAGTTACAAAATACTCTTCCAGAATCCAAAAGATAATTTCTAATTCAATTGAATACTTGTACAAAAAAATCAAGGAAAGAATTCTGTAAGAATTAAATATCTACATAGAATTTACAATAAAAACCTTTTGAGTATTTTTCTTTTAATAGTGGATAAGAAAAAAGTGAAATACATAAAAGTTTGAGGGTTAAGAAGAGGAAGGATAAGAATATTTTATAGATAAATATTACTCAATAACTAAATTGGAAAAAAAACACACACAGTTTAAAATTCCCAGCAAACATAACTGCAAAAACAGAGACTACAGCCGGGTGGTGGTGGCACACGCCTTTAATCTCAGCACTCAGAGGGCAGAGCCAGGCGGATCTTTGTGAGTTTGAGACCAGCCTAGTCTACAGAGCGAGATCCAGGAAAGGCGCAAAGCTACACAGAGAAACCCTGTCTCGAAAAACAAAACAAACAAACAAACAAACAAACAAACAAAAAAAGCGCAGACTACTGAAAAACTTTGATACTACTTCTCATATGATGGGATATCCTCAAAATAAGTCATTATATAATGATTTCTGGCAATACATTTCCTCAAATGCAGTAAATTATCAATAAACATTCATTAGCTTGATGCAAAACGTCAATTATTAAGTAAATGTTTAAAGTAAAGAAACCCAAATTGGCATCAACACTCATCTTGAATAATATTGATTACTATATATACAAGAGAATGAAGAAACAACAAAACATATGTAGAATTATAAACAGAAATTTTAGTTTAAAATGCAAGACATAAAAAATGATATATGGTATTATTACCTTTGCATAATGCTTACATTACAAAATGATCAAGGTGACAGATTACTGGATACATTTGAAGTTAGTGATAATGAGAAGGAAGCAGGGTATGTTTTATAACAATCTATTTCTTTCTATATATGGTAAGTCTAAATTTTACATTTTCATAGAGCTATATATTTATATATGTACATTTTTATATGTATATTATACTTCAAAAGGCGTCCATGAAATCTCTCAAAAGATGACAAAAGCAAATGTAAGTCATTTTAAATATGAACCATTCTGCCTACCCATAAGTCCTTCAATCCAATATCTAAAAGTGAATTTATGGTTAAGTAAAAAGTATATAACATATGCATTTTTATAATTAAATACATCCACTAGGATATAATAAATTATAAGTCATTTCTGTTATTTTTGTCTCTTTTCAGAAAAGACTGTGTCATAGTTTGGAAACATTTGCATAGTGTTTTTCTTTTATACCCTTGCTTGTACTTTCATTATTTAATCTGCCATAAAATATTCTTCAATTAGGCCTTTTGTGAAACCCGCAGCTTCATGTTATGTATTTGTACTACTGCAGTAGTTTTTCCAAAGAGAAAAATTTGCACACCTCTGGCCAGGAAGAAATATTAGGCCTCAAGACATTCTTGCTTGTCATAGATGGGAATCTCATACACCATGGCCACAGATGCTGCTAAATACCTTACAATATATTATGACAGCCGCTCACAAGCAAGAATTGTCTAATGTTGAGTGTTGCCACAGCCTAGGTAGTGGCTTCACAAATGTAATAACATAGGATATTGGAATTTTTAAAACATTACTATCTTGAGCAATTTTTGTTATATTTGAATATTAAAATGACTTTGTTCAAAGTGAATGTAACTCTTAAAGATAACTCATAATATTGCTTGTTTCTAACATGATTACTATGTTTTTGGTTTTTTTATTATCAATTATAAATACTTTATTTTATATCTTTGTTTATCTTTTTATTAACAAAGTTTTTATTCATTTTACATACCAATCACAGAAGCGAGGGATCAGTTTGTTTGTTTTTTAAACCTTGACAGGTATGCCATTTACAATAATTTTATTATTCTCTCCACAGGAGTGAAGAACAAAAGAATGTCTTGTCAGAATTTCAAAGAGATTTAAATGAATTTGTTTTGTGGTTGGAAGAAGCAGATAACATCACTAATACTCCACTTGGAAATGAACAGCAGCTAAAAGAAAAGCTTGAACAAGTGAAGGTAATTTTGTATAAAAACATACCCAGGGCCTATTTGTATAAAGCACATACAAATCTATTTTAATGTGTTGAATCATTGATTTGATGTCCATTATGTTATCTGTAGTACTTATCAATGTGTTTTCTCCCAGCCTTAATTTCTCTTTACTAAATGAATGTCAATCTACATACATGCATGCATACATACATACATACATACATACATACATACATGTGTGTGCATTTAGAAACACATTTTCTTTATATATGCATAGTGTATGGTGGTTATTTTGAAAACTAACTTAAAATTCTTAAAATTAATTTTAGACTTGTTTTAGGATTATACAATTCCAATGATTTTGAGAATTGAAGAGCAAAGCCTGAAATCAAAATATCTATATCTAAATGGGAACAACTTTGCAATCTGCTTTAAGCTTCATTACTGAGGACTGCGAGCCTCAATAAAGAAGCAAAACATCTCTTAGTGAAGATATTCGTTTTCAAATTAACATTATTTCAGCTAATAGCTAAAGGTTTTACATTAACCTAAAGTAGGGTTTAGCTTTAGTATATTTTATGTGAATACCAAAATCATCACACTGGTTCATTTTACATACTGGTTAAATAGACACACAGTGTGTTCAAGAGAATTTTTATGATATCTGATATTACCACACCTGGCTCATTGATGTAACCTAATTGTACAGACAATTTAATTTTTCTGGTATTAGTTTTAGAAAAGGAACTTTAGTTTGGGAACTACATTATTTTAATTCATAAAGGAAAGAGGAATGAAAATTAATATTTTATCAGTGTCAAATATTAGATTTTATTACAACTCTAATTTTATTTAATCTTCATATGAATTCTTGTAACAGGTTGTTATACTTGACATTGTAGATGGTTATACAGTCAAATGGAAATAGATTTAACAATGATTCAGTTTATTTATTCAAGTATATTATATTTCAAATGGATCCTATTTCTTTGAATGAAAAAAAATTACATCCTATCATGGATAGAGTACAAAGTAAAACAGTTTCATTATTCAGTAAACAAATATTGGCGATACATTGAATATCAGATATTATACTATTTATTTGACATTTCAGTACTGAAAGTTTGTGAGACATTTGTATACCATTGCACTCTTGGAAAAAAAAAAACAAGCCCAGTCCATTCTTGGAAAGCAATCTTTCCTGAATATATTGTGTAGATGTAATCAATCGTCTTATTAAATAAAAAACACAAAACCAATGCAAAGAAAAAAGCTAAGAGATCAGAGCTAAGAGCCTTACCCGTCTGCTGCAGTAGCCTCTTTAGCCAAGAGTCCTACTTCCTGTGTTTTTGTCTTTATATAGACTTTCTGTTCTGCCTTCTCATTGGTTGTAAACCCAACCACATGACTGCATTGTCACTGCCTGTCTGTACAGACCTCCAGGTCTTCTATGGTTGGTATTGAGATTAAAGGCGTGTGTCTTCAATGCTGACTGTATCCTTGAACACACAGAGATCTACCTAGCTCTGCCTACCAAGTGCTGTGATTAAAGGTGTGCACCACCACCGCCCAGCTTTTGATATGGCTCTAAGATCTCTGACCCCCAGGCAACTTTATTTATTAACATACAAATCACATTTTAGTACAAATAAAATATCCTACAATACTGAGTGTCATAAATAGAAATATAATTGATAGTTCATTTTATGGACATATTTGGCAACATTCATTTATGAATAAATGTGCATTGATTTTTTTGTTCTCCTTGGACAACCTATATAATATTGTCCAAAAGAACTTTGTATAAAGACAGATAAAGTCTTCATTATCTGTTTCTGTAACCATTAACTATATGTGCCTTTTGAAAAATGACTTGAATGAACAACTGAGGAAGTTTTATACTGTGTTGCATTTTAGTAGCTACTCTATTGGATGTCTATTTCTAAATAAAATGTAGTTATAACTATCATGGTAGGTTTTTGGACCTAGGGGAAAAGGGAATAACAATATGATGCTAAATGGAAGATTATAAATTTAAATTCCAGGGTGAGTTGAATTACTACTCTATTACTTATTAGTCTTGTGTCCTTGCAACTTATATTTAAATCTCCTGTCTCAGTTTTCTTCTATACAAAGTGACAATAATAATGCTTCAGATAGCTATTATTATTAGTTATACTTCATATTATTTTTATTTTCATATATAGAGAGGAACTGAGATAATATATGTAAGGAGATCAGCACAATATTTGACAGCATGTATATGACAACTTGGTATCTACTCATAGGTGTAATGTTGTATGTTATGACATGCTAAAATACCTTAGTGTTTGATGGAGTTACTCACATTGTTCTGTTTCTGATAAAGCATACGTTTTTGGAATGACTGCTTACTGCTCAACATCTCATCTAACACTTTGCATTTTAAAACACTCTCAAATGAATAAAATGATGTAGGTATATGTAGGGAGGTTTATCTAATTAGAATTAGATGTGCCCATTAGCTCTGTGCTCTGTGGAAGTATTTGCTATTTCACATGCCGGTGGACCTTCAGTCAAGATGTTTCACTTTGATAGAGTAATCAATAAAGGTGACATAGAAGTAGTTGGAGTTGCACTGTAATTCATTTTAAATGTTGATGTATTTGTCTGTTCCAGTTACTGGCAGAAGAGTTGCCCCTGCGCCAAGGAATTCTAAAACAATTAAATGAAACAGGAAAAGTTGTACTTTTAAGTGCTCCCATAAGACCAGAAGAGCAAGATAAACTTGAAAATAAGCTCAAGCAGACAAATCTCCAGTGGATAAAGGTAAGACATCAACCATCTTCTCTGCCACATGTGTTAAGTATTGCAAGTGTTTGTGTTTACTTTGTTCCTTGAGTGTATTCTTGTAAGGAAGCAGAATTGTGGATTATTATTTTGGTTTGTAACTTGTCTATCTGATTTGGCTGTATTGTTTGCTATAAAAGGAAAGCAATTTGTGATAGTGGATGACTTTGCATTAATGATCAATGTCGAAGTGTGCACCAATACTTTTTTGAAAAATTGTTCCATATGTTGAATCATTGATAAAGCAATTTAATTGAAGTGAGGTGTGTAGCTGGAGTTTTTTCTAGTCCTGCCCGGGCTCACAGTCATCCAGACCCAAATAAACACACAGATGGTTATATTATTTAAACTGTTTGTTTCTAGATTGCTTCCTGTTGATTGGGGATGCTGGTAGTCTTATGCAGGCTTCTTGCTATCTAGTCCTTATATCTTAAATTAACCCATTTCTATTAATCTGTAAGTTGCCACGTGGGTTGTGGCTTACCAGTACTTTACATCTTGCTTATCATGGCTGTGCCTGGCAGCATCTCCTGACTCACCCTTCCTGTTTCCAGAATACTCTTCTCTGCTTATACTGCCTATACTTCCTGCCTGGCTACTGGCCAATCAGCACTTTATTTATTAATCAATCAGAGCAACATTTCACAGCATACAGATATCAACAGCAGAGGTGTTCAAGCTCAGCAAGTACTTTGATGCAGAATTACTGTTTTAGACCAAAAATATAGACTTAAGTGATAATCAATGCATGGTAATATTCTCAAAAGTATATTTAATTTCCAGTTACCTTACTTGCAAGTCTTTGTCTTTCTACCCAGGACAAACATTAACATTGCTGTAAAATACAAAATGTTTATCAATTTAATACATATATGAAAAACAAATTGAACACAAAAATTTATATTGCAATCCAAATACTTTTGATCCAGTAGCATTTATTTATTCAAAGGAAATATTTCTCTACTGTATAATTGTTACAAATCTGTGATGTGTCAAATGAATATCCATGTATGAATATGCTTCCATTTTGTTTATTTATCAACCAGGCCTGCAGTAGCTCAGTGACAACTCTTACAGTCTTTTTTGTTGTTTTTTTAATATTGTTCATTGATATATGATTAACCCTGTCATAAAATTTATCTATTTAAAATATATAGTCCAATAGTTTTGCTTTATTATTTAAAATCATTCATAAAACATTTATATCACAAAATTTGTCAGATAAGCAATTTATTATAAAATTCCTTGTAATTTATTGGAACCATTATCATAATCATCATCTGTTCCTAAAAATTTCTGTCACCTCACATCATATCCCCCTTTCTTCTTTAGAAAGAGATTGACTATGACCATTAACAATTTATAACCAACCCCCTTAAATGAAAACAAACATTCATAAAATAATATTTTGAGAATTTGGGCATAGTTTTCTAGATTGCTTCCTGTTGATTGGGGATGCTGGTAGTCTTATGCAGAACTGAGAAAATTTGAGTTAATGACCAAGTCCTGGGAATATCAGCTATAACTGTCTTGTAAAATAGTACTCACACAACCATTTTGGTTTTCACTTGCAATATAATACTCAACAGTACATGATGTAGTCAACAGATTGTTGTAAAATAGGTTTTATATCAGGTGATTTTACCCAGTGAAAGATAATGCAAATGTTCTCAACATTTTTTTACACATTAAACTACAATATTTAATAAATAAATAAGAAAAATTACAAGTTGAACTGCTGTAAATTGAGAACCATTTGCTGTTGCTGTGACAAATTGGTAGATGCTACAATAAATTCATTGTAAAAATTTGTTAGCTTATTTTGCTCTGGGTAATTTATCTTTAATGGAGTATAGGCAAGCATTGTTTTAAGGCAAATATCACCATTAGTTTAAATTATGGACTGTCAAATAAGCATCATCTGGGGGTTGCACTAACTTTTGTCTAAGATACAACTTTACATTTGTTTTCTTTAACAATAATATACTATTATTTTACACCACATTATGATCCTATATTATGTTTAAATCACATTCTATCTTACTTTACTTTAAATGAAAAGGTGAAAATATAGAACGTTGTAGGTTCCAGATCAATCAGTTGAAAGAAGCTTTGTGAAGCTAAGTTACACATCTTCCAGATTCCTGATGCCAGCTTCTGGAAAGACTCTATGACTTTTAAGACCAATATTGTCTTAGTTACTGTTTTCATTACAGTGAGTAGGCACCATGACCACAGTAACTTTGATAAAGGAAACATTTAATTTAGGTTGCTTGTTTATACTTTCAGAGGTTCAGTTCACTATCATCACAAAGAGGAGCATGGCAGTGTGCAGGCAGACATCCTGCTGGAGCTGCATGTTGGCTTGCAGGCAACAGGAAGTAGACTAACAGTCACACTGAGGGAAGCTTTAGCAAAAGAGACCTCAAAGTCCACCCCCACAGTGACACACTTCCTCCAATAAGGCCATACCTCCCAATAGTGACGCTCCCCTTTGGGGCCATTTTCTTTCAAACCACTACAAATATAGTTCTCTATTGTGAGATAACTGATCCCAAAATAAATACCACTTTTTAGGCATTTGGTAAAACTCCATTGACTTTCTTGTATATATAATATACTAGAAACAAAGGAAATACAAGTATTCTCATTTAACCCAACTATTATTTTAATGTTAAGGAAAAGGATCTAATTTCTTTGAAATAAGTCAGAAAATGCTTCTTTGTTGAAAACTGGATTCTGTGTTTCATAATAGTGTGTCTCTACTGTAAAACAGTTACTATTGTATAATATAGGAAAACATACATATAGTTTTATATCTACTATTTATTATTTAGGCAATTTTATACACATTGTATTTTCCTATTAGTCATAATAAATATGATTGCATGCCATAAAACTAAATTTTGTTTCATATTTTTATTTATAGTTACTTATATTACTCTTACATTACTGTTTTAATTCTTTACTGTCATGATAGTATAAAGTAATACACTAAGACTGAAACATTTGACAGACACAATTAATAAATTGCCCTACAAAGTGAATTTCAGTAAAGTATATCTTCCTAGAAAAATCTGATTTACTTTATCCAGGAAAAAAATAGGTTTAAAATCAAGCTTAGAATAAAAGTACTTTTATAATAGTGCCGAAATTACTTTCCAATGAAATCACAAAATAAATACCATGAAAGTAAATGCATAGTTAAATTCTTAAACCAGAACATTTTCTAAAGTACACTACTAACTGTATCTAAATTACCAGAAATTGGGTTCATTTTATATTGACCTCTAATCATATTATTGTTAAATATCTATGCAAGGAGTAAACATGTCAATAACATTCTTTAGTTCATGTCAATGAAAGAATTGAATAAATTGTTGGTTGTTTTTTTTCAGGTACATTTTCCATGTAATGTCAGTCATTAGTAGTCATTACTACAAATGTAGAAAGTAAAATATAGAAAATTGCATAAAACAAAACCTTAGCTATTCCACTCCTTGCTAAAATATGGATTATGCTCCAGTCAATTTTCTATCACAGTATGGTGATTTTTAGATAGTGTTAGTAGTGATCATTCACTCTATACCCTGCTATAATTTTTTTTTAACTAAAGAATAAAAATTTTTCACTAGAGTTGTTACCATGCTTACTGGTATTTATGGTGCCCATAAAAGACTCTATAATATATAGTAGAAATGATGATAAATAGCTCACTGAGATAGAGGTAACAGCAGAGATCAGGTTATTCTAAAGGATATTTGATGTGATCATAATATTCCCTGATAAAGCATATGTAGCCAAATTTCTAAATGGTCTTATTAAATAAAAAACACAGAGCCAGAAATTTGGGTTAAAGCCTTAGAGAAATCAGGGAAATACAGAAAGCCATCAGCCAACCTCACCTCACCAACTCCACAGCTTCCAAAGAGAAGGACTTCCTATCTACCCAGGCTTATATGCCTTGTTTTTCTGCCCTCTCATTGTCTTTTAGCCCAGCTACCTCACTTCCTCTTCCTACACAGCTCTGTCACTCTCTGTCTGTCTTTACAGACCTCCAGGTCTCTATGGTTGGTATTGGAATTAAAGGTGTGTATCACCATGCTTGGCTCTGTTCCCTAATGTGGCCTTGAACACATAGAGATCCTGCCTGCTAAGTTATAGACTAAATTCTAAATGGTCTTATTAAGTAAGAAACACAGTGCCAAATACAGATTTAAAAGCCCAAGAGAAAAAAGCAGTAGCTAAGAGCCAAGACCACCTTATCTTACCACTCGCTGCCGTCCTTCCCCTGAGAGAGAGACCTTCTTCCTTTGTCTCTTGTGTTTTATTACTTTCCTGTTCTGCCTTCCCATTGGCTCTAAGCCCAGCCACATGACTTCCTTGTCACTGCCTGTCTATACAGACCTCCTGGTCTCTATGGTTGGAGCTGGGAATAAAGACTCAAAGGTCACCACACTTGTCTGTGTCTGTGACCACACAGACTCTCCTGCCATGTACCACCACCTGACTGTAGCTGGAGTTTTCTCTCATGGTCCAGCAAGCCTCGCCAGTCCCTTAGCCCACTTATAAAATAAACATACAGATGCTTATATTATTTAAACTGCTTGGCCATTAGCTTAGGCCTATCATTGTCTAGCTCTTACTCTTATATTCAGCCCATTTTTATTAATCTATACTTTGCCACGTGGCTCGTGGCTTACTGGTACCTTACATCTTCCTTGTCCTGGAAGTGGCTGCAGGCAGTCTCCTCCTTCCCTTCTTGTTCCCTTAATTCTCCTCTCTGATGGTCCCACCTATACTTTCTGTCTGGCTACTGGCCAATCAGTGTTTTATTTATTAACATATTTGCCATACAGAATATCCCACAGCACCTGACTTCTATTTCTGGCTCACTAATAATCTCTGATCTCCAGGCAAACTTTATTTATTAACATACAAATAAAATCACATTTCACTATAATTAAAATATCACCACA